CTGTACCTATCCATCTGGTGAAAACACACACAAGGGGACCAGACAGAAATGTGCTTGCATTTTGTAAACTGGACAAAGGAAGATATCTGTTGCTGTAGTCCTACCTTCTCCAAGCTGGTGTCCTCCAGACATTTGGGCTACAATTCCTAGCATTCCCAGCCAGCATGGCTAATGTTTAGGAATGCCACAAGTTGTGATCAAAAACATCCACATGGCAACAGATTGAGGAATGGTCCTGTAGTCTTTCCAGCTATCAACACGACCAAGGATGGTGTGTGTTACATAAGAAGTAGGTTTTTACTGATTATAGGTTAAGTTTTGCCTATTCTGATTAGGAGCAGTTCTCCAAAGCCTTTTAAGCTCTACCTGGACATGCTAGGGGATAAACCCAGGACCTTCTGCAGATAAAGCAAGAAGTCCATTCAGTGTTCTGTACCCTTTCTCTTCTCCCTCCCTCTCTGCCTCTCTTTCTTTCCCTGTCTTCTAAACAGCTAGCCAAATCTTTGATTCTCCTCTGCTATTTTCTGAAGAATTTAGCAATGTAATTTCTGAAGAATTCCATGATGTAAATTATATGTTTGCTTTCTGACCCCTAGTTGCATATTTCACATTTATTCAGCATGCTAGCTTATTTCAAAACGGTGTACCTCCCTGCTTTTTAGTTCTGTTGCTTTTTTTTAACCAACAATGGTTTAATCAAGTACCTTGAATTAATCAAGATCCACATCCTTGAGTTGACAAGAGCTGAGCAGGGCTGTCAAGGACAGGACATTTTGGATCGCCATATGTTGGAGATGAAAGAACACAACAACAACAACAGTCAAGTACCAGAATCCTTTTTCTCAAGTATATTCGAATTGCTGTGGTTATTCACATTCACACCACTTAATGTCAAGGCCCAATCCATAAGTGATGCTTTAGATGACATTTGTGTGGTTTCACTCACTTGTTGCTTGTTGCTTGTGTGTGTGTGTGTGTGTGTGTGCACCTTTCAGGAGAATGGATGTCCACAAAATAAAATGGGAGTTCTGGAAATGTATTGTAAAAAAGAAATGTGCTTTTCCCCAAAAGACTTTGGCTTAATTCTTTCCACAACCAACTGGCCATATTCCAAATCATCTGGGACCCCTTTTTCAAGTCAACTGGCTGAAAAGACTGTGCAAGGTCCAAATGGCCAATTAATGCACCAAGAATGCAGGTGATTCTAAGTGACTTGGCTAGGATCATATAAATGGCTCTCCTACAGATACATTCTCATATGGATACTTTTTAAATATTCCCTTTTCCCTTTTCAGTATTTCCCCTTTTCTTTCCCATTCTTTCTTTAGCAGTATCCAGCCTTCTTTCTTTCTCTACTCTTTCTGTTTAGGGCTTCTTCCTCTCTTCGCTCTCACCCTCTTAGTAGCCCTTAACACGTACTCTGCATTGTTCAGTAAGTGGGTTCAGTTTCTCCATTTGAACGATTCCACCACCATGCCAGTGTCTACATGAAAACATCTTAACTGAATTTCCTAATGAGAGCTGAAGGACATTCCAGGAAGGAGTCCCCATGAAGGAGAAAGCATTTGCTCAGGATAACTGACATAGAACTGTCTGGTAGAATCTCAGAGAATGTGGATAATTGGATGATTGGGATAACGGAGGCTCAAGCCATATGTTTTCTGTTAGAACTGCCAAAGTATGACAAGAACAGTCCTATAGAAACTAGCAAAGCTTCAGTGGCAAATGTAGAAGTTAAGAAGGACAGCTAGGACATCCACAATGATGACTCGTGCAGGACTGATGTTGAAATGATATTAAGGTACAATTTATCGGTCTTCAATATCTCTTGTTAAAGTAGCTGTGATGCACTTCTTTCAGCCTAAGAGTTGGATTCCATTTTGGAGAAGCTCTTACAGGCCACATTCCAGTGGGTGGGCAAGGCTGAAAGCAAAGGGGGTCAGGCCGAAATAGCAACATATTTTAGCTTTAAAGCAATTCCTTCCATTAAGTAGGCTTTGGAGAGGCATTTCTTCCCTTTAGAATGGGGGACAAAACTGCACAAAAGCCAGAAAGCCAGAAAACAATTCATTATTACAGGATCGCAGCTGAGCTAGGAAAAAGCAGTGCCCGAGGTTCTGGAGAGTCCTAACCAGCCAGAACTGGCAACAGTAGACCAACAAGCTGGCCAATGAGAAACCACCTTATGTTCAAAAATTATTAAGGAAGGGTTCTGTAAGCTTCTAAACCTGACAAAGTGATATGGTGCTATCATAGAAACAAACAGAATACAAAATATACTGTTCATGAAGCATGCTTCCAAGACTGGGAAAGGTGGGGACAAGGATATGCTGATGTTCGCAAGTCTGCTTCATCTAAGCTCACTTCCTGTCCACTTGAGTTGAATAAGATAGGCTGCAGTGTGTGCATCTTTACTGCTAAGGAAATTTGTGCAAATGCACTCTTTGTGTGATTTGCATAAAACTACACCATTTATGGAAATTCACACAATTTGCACAAATCACAGTATTTTATGCATTTTGCACAGACTGGCATCTGAAATGCACATGACTGTTCTGTGATCTGGGAAAATTGTGCAGGGACCACATGCTTTTCTGGTGCCAATTTGCAGAGATGGGCTGATTTAAACACACACACACACACACACACATCTTTAGTGATCTTTTTAAAATATAAATTGTGGGTGGTATACTTGAATCCAGGAAGTTGAATCTTGTCAGACTCCTCACACATCCCTAGATGGAGAACTGCAGTTCCCATCAGCCATAGCTAGCATAGCTAATTGCAGCAGGAAACAACATCCAGAGGTCTACACATTCCCTGTCCTCATCTTCCATTATGGTATGTTCCTAGGATGAAAGTAAGACACAGGGTACTATTTGTCAAATGCTATTATGGACTGAAAGGCAAAAGGGATATGCATATTTTAAGGCACCTGAATGTGTGTGGGAGACGACTGACTAGTCAAAGTAGCAGAGGTTTTCAAGGGGGCACTCCTTGCAGAAAATCACAGGCAAAGATGCCCTTTGGAGGATTTGTCAGAAAACTCCTCTGCGACCCTGGTGAAATGCCAACAATTTTCAGACAGTCTCTTGATAGACAACTTTACATGATTAAGTCAGCAAAAAGCAGAAGATTGTCTTCCTTTTGGGAGGAAGAATTAGGCTTCTATAAGTGAAGTACAGTTTGTTAAGCACTGGGATTATGTATCAGTTAAAAAGTGCAAGGGGTGGTACATTTATGTATTCATTTATTATGTTTATATCCAAGCTTTCTCCCATTGTGGAACTCAGGGTGGCTACATGCAGTTCCAATGTGGTCTCCCCTCCAAGCTCAGGCCAGCCCCAGCCCTGCTTAGCTTCAACATATTATTATTATTATTATTATTATTATTATTATTATAACATTTCTATGCCGCCCCTTGCCGAAACCTCGGGGCGGCTTACAACATGATAAAATACATTGAAATACAATAGTACATAATAAATTACCATTAAATATAACAATACAAAAAATACATTGATTTACAAATACAAAATTAAAATTATCAGTATAAAATAAAAATATAGGAGGAGAAAGAGAAGGAAGAAGAAGTTGCCCAGGCCAGATCATTCTCTGGGCCATACATAACAGAAAGGCACCCTTTTCAGTTTCCAGATTACAACCAGGGAAGTGCCTTGTTCTGCAGAAAGACGCTTAGGTAAGTCTGAAAAAATATAATTTTCAGCTACCCCCCATTCTGTTTAATGCCATTGTTTCACCTGGTGGCCGCTGCTTTGGCAGTATTATTTTTCTCTGGTACCTCTAAATCAGTAATTAGTCACACAGGTGAACCCAACCAATCAGGGATCTCATAGCAAATGTGATGATGCCATTTACTACCTTATACAAGGGAGGTGTTGGGGAATTTACATTTGTGCTAATATCTTTTCCACAGGTGAAAGATCACTAAAAATGCTGAGGGAGGGGGTGGGGATTAGTATTCCTGAAAAAGTGCAAAAAATGGTGATTCATTTCATTTTGGTTCTAGTTATATGTGTTTTGTCTTAAGGATTTGTAAGCCGCCCCAAGAGGGTAGTAGCGGATGGGTTAGAAAAGCTTTCAATAAATAAATAAATAATAAACATAAATAAGCATTCCATTTCTTAAAGAGAGTAAGGGAGCCAAAATCCATCTTCTCCATGGCAAAATTCTTCAAAAAAATTCTTCTGAAACAGGCATGAATGTTGACATTTCAGTCGATCTATTGGGGTAGGAAGGCACCTCAAAGTCCAGGTCTGAACCTGGCAGAGGTGAATTCTGTAAGTTTACCTAGTAAGTCTGTTCTGGGCTATACCACTTCAGTCTGCAGATAGGGGGAGGTCATACAGCAGAATGCACCACCAAAAATGCTCCCCCACCCAAAAAAAGATCCCACATATCTGGGCTAGAGTTTTTGCCCACCTTGAGCAAAAGAGGCCTTCATGCCCCCTTCCAACTCTACTATTCTATGATTCACCTCCAAATCCTAATATTGTGTTTAAAAAGCATTTTTAATTGGGGGGGGGGGGCGGTTAGTCCTGGGAGCTGCCTCCCTTACAGTTTCAGGTTGGTGCAGCCAACCCGGCTTCCAGCCAAGCTGGCTTCCTTGATGATAACAAGTCCTCTAAGGCTGACCCACATGCATTTCTTGCAGTCATTTCATATTCAGGAAATAGATATGGATTCTGATTAGAAGTCCCAGTTCTGGGAAACGCTCTGGCATCATCCCACTGTGGCACTATGACTAGAGCTGTTGGAGAGATGCAACATGGAAGAAGATCCTGGCACCCCAGAGGGCTGCCAGTTGTCAAAGATAATTAAATTACTCAGTGCAGTTGTGTGGAAACTGAATTTTGAGTGTGTGGAACCAAGAGGATGCCCACTCTGAGGCCCTGAGGTGCGATTAACGCTTGGGAATGTATGGGGGGGAATGTTTCAAATGAAATGAAGGCCAAACATAGCTTCAGGTGCTTATTTACCTTGTAGGGTTCTCCAAAGAGATTAAAGCCAGATGCAAAAAGATCGTCGTCCTGCTGGACTTCTTGATTCCTCCGTTCCCATTCTTTTCTCTTAAGCGCATTCCGGTCTTGTTCATAGTGACTGGAATTGTTTAAAAAAGAGACAATCCATTATTCTTCTGAAGTGGACCGTTGTCCATGAAAGCTTATGTCATAATCAATTGGTTTGTCTTTTGAGTGCCGCACGATTCTTTGTTGTTTCTGCAGTTACAGAGCAACACAGAAGTCCCCCTGAAAACTGTTACTCTTCTTTCCACTAAACAATTCGTTTTATTGAGTTTTAAGTAGAAAATACTCAAAAAGGCGCCATGAGAATAATGGCATTAAAGATGCTTTCACACATGAAGGTTTCGCTGCTCCAGGCTCATGCTTCTTTGCCAAGCACTGCACATGGAAAGAACCCTTTCCAAAGTGTCTTCTCTACTGAAGGACACTTCCCCACAAGAGCCCTCCAAGTTCTGCCCACCACATCTGCCAGCTCCTGACACAGAGTTGCTCACCAGAATCTGCCTTGGTGTCAACTGCCCCTTTTGTCCCACTCCAATATTTCTCAGATCAAAAGTGCACCATCCTACAACTCACTTGGCACCCCCAATTACAGAAAGTAAGGTGAGGTTCAGTTCTGGGCCCCACAGTCAAAGGGGGATATTGCAAAGTTGGAATCAGTGTGGCAAAGGGCCACTGGGATGGTGGCTGGTTTGCAGGGTAAACCGTATGAGGAGAGACTGATGGAGCTGGGTCTTTTCAGCCTTGAGAAGAGGAGACTCAGAGGGGACCTGTTAGCGACATACAGGTACATGAGGAGGTGTCACGTAGAGGTGGGTCATGACCTTTTTTCCCCTGCAGTGGAGGGCAGGACACGTTCCAATGGAGCAAAGCTCAGGGAACCAAGCTTAAATTGGATGCCAGGAAGTACTTCCTGAGAGTCAGGACCCCGAGGGTATGGAATGGGCTTCCCTGGGAGGTGGTTGAAGCCCCAACAGCGAGGGTGTTTAAGGACAGGCTGGACATGCACATGAGTGGAGCTGGCTGGAGCCGGGGGTCAGACTAAACAGTCCAGGAGGCCCCTTCTGACTCACTCTATGTTTCAGCTTGGAAGAAAGTCAAAAGGACCAGGCTAGACGGACGAATAGTCCACCATATCTGAGGCAGATTTCTGAGCTGAACCTGATATCTTTGAGCAAAAAACATGTTTTCCCATTGACCCAGATAGACCCTTTCCAAAATAACACACCTCCATTGGTACAGCTGCTTAAACTGTACTAAGTGTATCCATCTCTAGAAGCAAGGGCTTTGGTTGTATGTGTGGGAGACATTTTAATAAGAGAAATTTATGCATCCAGAATATTTTAGCAGGAGTTTTGTTTTAATAATAATAAAAAACACTTTTATTGCTGTTTTGTGTGTTTAATTAAATTCTACCACCCTAATCCAGTCTGACATAAATCATTACTAAAACATAATTATATAGTAAATAAGCAATACAGCATTTACTATTTTCTAGCAGGTTAAAAAAAGGATTAATAAAAATCAAACTCTATAATTGCTCAAATCAATGTGCATAATTATACTCCGGTCTTCTAGGTAGCCCAGAGATATAACAAATGGAGTTCAGTGGCTGTAAATCAGCATTTTCCCCCAATGGTTATGTCAAAAAGTCCCAACACAGCTTTGTTTAGGAGGAAAAGCCTAATGGAAAACTTGAGTTTTAAAAGTTCAGTTCTGTGCATTGATGATTCCTGCACATTCCATCAGGATAGGGCATTATGCTCTTTAAATTACATATCTGGACTGACCCTAAGCATTTGTGCCCAATTTCCGGCTTGAGCAAAACCATCAAGGTGTGTCTTCAGCCCTAGTATAACATCTCACTTTGCAGGAAAATGTAGATGTGTGACACATCCAGGAGACCCTGAATGAGTGTATCAGCTTATTCTGAATGTATAAATTCCTTACTGGGCAGGAATTGTCAAGATGCATGGCATGGGTTTCTTCTTGTCCTCACAATCAGCTTGTGATGTAGGTTAGGTTGAATTAATTACAGTGAATGGCCCAAGAAGGGCCTGCATCTCTGAAGGAGGGTCTCCTTCTGTATACACTTGCCTGAGCCCTATGGTCCTGGTCTGAGGTCCTTCTGGGGAGGCCTCTTTGAAGGAGATCAGAACAGTGGCTACCCAGAGAAGGGCCTTTTCTGCAGTGGCACCCTGGCTTTGGATCCTGTTTCCCTGGGAGGGGCACCTGGTGCTGATGCATTATTCATTTTGGCACCAGGCCAAAACCTTTCCATTTCCCCTATAGTTTGAGGGTTAATGCTCTTGGAATTATTTTTTTTATTGTCTATTTATATTCTATTTATGTGTGAACAACTTATGGAACGTTATGAAAGACAAAGACTGGAGGGCCAATGGAGTGAGCTCAACTGCTTGTGACAGACCCCGCAATTTCACCAGTTGTGTGTGCCAACTTGAGCCTGTGTGTGATTTATCTCACACATGGACCGCAGCGAACTGCCCTGCACCCTTCGACCCCCACTGCCCTTTGCTGGGGAGACTTCATTTCGTTATTTATGAGACGGCTAACCTGCCCCATTAGCCACACAGCTCCCTGGGCAGCTTACAACCTTCCATGCAGCAACCCTTCATCCGCTACTCTGGGACTTCCATGGCCAGAGACTTTATCAGATTCATCGGAGTCAGACGGCATGCCTCTCATTCAGGACCAACATCTCCAGTAACTGAACAACCAGGCCGGAGCTCGGCAGAGGGAGCACAACTAAGCTGTCAGTCTTAGAAGCCTTCTGCAAGCTGCTAAGGCAACAGATTTCCCTGAGCGAGCTGCAGCCTATACCTGGCCTAGTGCTCGGTCAAGGGTCACGGTGTATCCTGTGTAGTCTAAGCTTGCCTTGCCATCCTGCTTCATCAGATCTGCTGCTGCCTCTCATTTTCAGTAGGTGCGTTGCTGATCAGCTGCCTTCGGAAACGTGAACTGAGCTAGACAGGACATTGGCTTTGTACAGTAACCACCTTGAGTCCCACTCCTTGCTTTGATTTCATGCACACACAGCTGTGTGTAGAAAATTCACCTTCTAGACACAGTTTAGAAGAACAATATAGCAAAGAACAACCTCCTCTCACATCTCTGCTGGAGATGAATTTAATCTCCATCCAGCCTTTCTGCACCAGGAAGATAACCAAATATTGACAACATTTGCCTTTTCAGCTCAGCATGCCAATGCATGGAAAGATTCACACAGTGAGATATAATGAGCTATGAGCTGTGCTGTGATGGGGCCGTTGCAGTGTATAAAGTCACTGATTTCTCACTGAAGCCACAATTACTAATTTGAAGTGCTGTCTAATTAAAACCACAGCTATGTATTTACCCTCTTGTTATACCTACTGCAGTGTTATAATTACAAAGACCTCTTTATCTACTCAATTAAAGTTCTCTGGATGCAGACAGGTTGTGTTTGAACCCACTGGCCCCACAGGGACGGGAGGCTACCATCCACCTCTGGAGGTGACCATGTATGCGATCTTGTTTTCACATGGAAAATAAACAGAGCAAATGAAACAACAAGCAACAGTCTATTTGGAGATAATGTATTGGAAGCGATTCAAGCTTCCCAGCGCTTCATATTGGGAAGTTTAGGTTGGCAAGCAAGACTAGCTGTTTCAGTGCATGGACTGTGCACCCATTCTGCATGCATTAATTGTGTGGACATTCATCTCCCACCATTTAGGATGTGGTGCCATTGCTTTTCCTGGCCTCTGCGATCCTAAATTGGTCGCCTGGGTGATGCCACCCAGTTCATATTCGCAAGCGAACAAATTGGCTGAATGACATTAAATCAACAAGTGTCAGAAAAGGAAATCAGCAGCCCATCAATTCTGCCTACATGATGATGTCAGCAAAGGTGAAACCGGACAATAGCAAGTGAGGGGAGGTGAAGGCGATGCAGATATGCCACCATGTGGATATTCATCCATTTGTGCCACAGTGCCGAGACCATAAAATGTGCGTATCTGAAGCACAGCGTGCATACAAAGAGACACCAGAGGTTATTTGGTATGCCTTGGGGTTTTCTTATTTTTAAAATGCAGTAACTTATTTTAATTGCTGCACATCCATCCATGGGGCTGAAAGCTGTAGTCTCATCTTCAGCCACTGGGGGAACACGTCCTTAACCAGCACTTAGCTTTGCTGCTGGGGAGACTCGTGTGTACCCACCTTCCCTGCCCTGTCATGGGGCCGCTTCCCTTTGGAGGAATGGAGTGCATGGATCCCACCTCAGGGGGTTCTGGGATGCACAGGGTGGGGGCCAGGCCTAGAGTGTCAGCAGTGGTGGCGTCACTCAGAGGGGATGGACACAAGGCAAGCAGCTCTGCAAATGTGCTTGAAAGCTTTGCTGTCTCCAAGGAAGAATTATTCCAACCTGTGCAAAGCCACATAAATTCACTACGGAAGAAGTGAGCACGTCCACAGTGAGTGCTGAAACCAAAACGCAAAAGGAATGCTGAAAAGTGAAGGGGTGTTTTTTTAGCAGTGCAGAAAACCTATGAAGCAGGGTGAATAATTTCAGTGTGCCTCTGGTTTGGCATGTTTGGATGTAGTCGTTTTAAGTTTGTTTTATACCATTTATTGCAATCTGCTATCCTAAAATAATCTCAGGCTTGTTTGCATATTCTGAGGCTTCATCGGAGTCAGATGATGGTAGAAAAAATACCAACCAACCCCAAGAAAATTTGAGTAGACCTGGCTCATGACTTGCTCATGCCTAGATGCGTGATCCTGGAATGCAGACCCAGCCAGAGTGCCAAATTCAGGGTCCCCTAAAGACACCCAGTGATTTGTGAGGAAATAGTGGTAGTTTGGCTGGGGTGAGACTGGATCGCCTCCCTCCTCTCTGTTTCTCTCAATCTCTCAAAAGCAATCTAGAGATAACCAATTGAAAGTGCTCTTGACTCCTCTAGCAGTCCTCATAAGTAACCAATTCAAATATGCCATTCCTCAGACGGAAGAGTCCTCTCCTTTAAGCTCTCCATCAAATCCATACTGGTGATTGCTTTCTGGACACCAGTC